ACACACACACACACACACACACACACACACACACACACACACACACAATAACCAAAAGAAAATAAACAGCCTTAGTCATGCAAGAAAACAACAATAAGCGTCAATTAGACCAATTACATATAATAACTAGAGTTGCTACGTTACTGATACCAGTACCAGATACAGCCCAAAATGCTGGTTCAGGTATCAACGTGTACGTGAATCAATGCACCAATCCGATATAAAGCTATCATTTCAATTATCAGCTAATTTACGCTTCATAGGAACAACAACAACAATACGTGTGTCCAGTTTAATAGTTTTTTAACGCACTGGAATTAGATCGGTATTCGGTATTGGCAAATACGCTAGTTCATCAAAATCCGTATCGGAACATCTCTGTTGTAGTCGTAGTGTCGGTTACACACTCTGCTGGAGTAGAACACGGTACAGCAGGGACGTCTGCAACGAGGCTCTCAACCAACAGGTCTAAGGAAACCTAGTCTAACGACGCCTCTAAGCGCTGCTCTTTGTAATCTCCCAGATATCACAAGTTAATGTGGACTGAGGCAACGATTTATCATTTTGAAAACTTGTTTTTAAATAAAGTTCACAGGATGCATTTCTTTCCTCACATCACATTGTGGTAACTCATTAGAGATCTTGACATCTTATTTGCCGGCTGGTCGGTCGTTTGAGTGCGCTCAACTCATAATTACATTTCTGACCGCACTTGAAGGCAACATGCAATGATACATGAAATGTTAAGCTTTTAAGTCAATGTGAGAGTTACTCAGAACACTGTGAGAACATAGGTGAGCAGGAATTTAAATGAATGTTAAAAGTTAACGTGGAAATCTCTCTTTGATCTCCCTCTGAGGGAGGTGTTTCTATTCTCCACTTTCATCTCATGCTCAGAGAAACACTGATGTGCCGCTCACCAACAGACAGGACAAACCACCATGATATCACAGCAAAGATTAAACACCGAGCCAACCTGCATGAACAACACACACACACACACACACACACACACACACACACACACACACACACACACACACACACACACACACACACACACACACACACACACACACACACACACACACACGGAAAAAAGGGCAAAGGCAAGAGATTAGCCCTACTTAGAGAAAAGGTTTCCATGGCAGCATCCTCAAGTTGATCCCAAACGGAGCTCTTATCGCGGCCTGGAAGAGTTTCCCAGGAGGAGCAGCAGGAGGGAAGAGAAGCAGCGAGAGCAGGAGGGGGTTAGGCCAAGAGGTGAGTGGGTTTAATGGCAAAAACAAGAGCAGAGAGAGCCCAGAACCACGTCCCAGGAACGGAGACCAGGACGAACAAAGACACTCATGTACTCCGGCTACCGAGTGCTTTATAGCCTCTAGCTTTGTGCTGATGTATGTTAACGATCTGTTCAACTGTAATATAGAAGTTAAGTTAAAGACTGTAGTTTAACTTGAGTCAAACTAATTCATTTGTGTTTTGTGCAGATCTCTGTTAGCTGTGTCCAAGTGCATTTAAACCTCTCAGACAACAGTTACACACATTTTCACAACTCTACTCTTTAAATACACACGTGTTACTTTAATAACATACTTGTCTTAATGTACTCTGTTTGTCATATTTTATTGTACATTTTCATATTTTCTATTTTTAAATGATGTCTTTTATGTTCATTGTCATGCACAAATCACTAAGTCAAATTCGTTGTTTGTGTAACAACTTGACAATAAACTGATTCAGTGAATAAATACAACTTCCCTTTTCAATCAGTAGTGTTTACTCATCTCTGTGTAAACTTACATTATGCAACATCAGCACACAAACATCAGGGTATAACCTTCCACCTTCATAGATGCTTTGTTCACCGTTCCATAAGAAATAATAATAATTACACCACTTCTAGGTCATCACACGTCTCACTTCCGTTTGTTTTTTCTCTTTAAAATAACATTTATTCGTAATAGTTCAGTGGCAAAGCAAGAGCTTGCACAAGTAGTAGTAAAAGAAATTAAACACCTAGAAACTTTACACTAGAGGAAGTACCTTAGATAATGTTAGTGAAGCAGTGCTTTCAAGAGCACAGGGAGGAAAGGTTTTCTTGAATGATCAGAATAAATGTCAGCCGCTCGACTCGTGTTGAACTGGAGGACGAGCTGTAGCTCAACATACCCAGCAGGCCTTCACAAAGGTAGATCCTCATGCTGATGTCCTCCATGGGCTGAGCAGGCGGCCCCTTCGCCATCGCAAGCGTGTGATCTTTTGCACTTGGCTTCAGAGTGTGAGGCTTTCCCTGTGGGAACAGGACACGGTTTGTCACGTTTGTAAACTAACAGCTAGAACAATGACCCCCAAAAAATACACAGGCTCACGTATTTTGAGTATTAACGCATCTGTTTTTTTCTGTTGTTTATGGTCTTACATCAGGCAGAGGTAAGTTGAAGAAGAATGTGATTTTTCACACGTTTTTCTGAAGTCGAGGTTCACTTTGAGTGTTTTGAAATGTGAACAAATGTTGCTCATTCAACCAGTAAACCACCATTTGAGCATTCTTGGCAAAAGAAAATGATTGTGATTCCAGAAAGGGTATTGAACTCTTTCTCTCATGTTCATGCGTTTTGTTTTAAAAGGTGGAAAACTAGTCCGCTATCATCCAGCTTTTCTAGTGCGCATGGGAACCCTGTAATCCCATCGACTCCAACTCAAAGCCAATACGTTCAAAATAAAATTGTCTTATGTTCAAAGTAAGAAAAGTTTAATCTACTTATAGTGACTTTTAAACTTACAAAAACAGCGCTGGTGGCTGGATTGGTTTCGATCTCGCTGTCAGAGAGAGTCCCTCTGGACTGAGTTAGATGAGCAGTGTTCCTCCCCCCGAGGCCGTCTCCAGCTGTGCTGCTCAGGTCACTGTCAGCACCCAGAGTCTCTCCAGAGCTGTTGCTTATCTAGAACATATGAAATAAGGTGTAAGAACAATACATGAGCGACGTTTCAGGTGCAGAAGGTTTGGTATAAAAGCAGCTTTTAATTTAAAAAATGATAAAGTATTATTCTCCATCAGCTGGATCTCCTGCTCTTCACTGAAGTTCTTTTGTGAATTTCATTTTTTAATCTGGAAAGCACTTTGTGCTTCCGGTTGAAAAGTGCTTTATAAAGAAAGTTATTATTACTGTCACTATTATTAATATATTTGGTATTAGTATTACTAGCTGGTCAGTAGAGTTTAAGCATTTCATATGGCGATATAAGCAATAATCCGTAACCTACAATCGATCAATTTATTCACAGTTTTTAAAAGGGAAAAGAGAAAAGGACAAAATAAGCTTAAAACGGTTTGGACGTAAAACATCGTCCTGTAATCTGCAGCTGGTATTGTGAGGTTCAGTGCAGCTGGAATAGATAGAAGTGCAGCACAAAGTGCGTAACATCCGAGTTGGCCGTGCCCTACCACTGTGCTGGCCTCAGAGTCCTGGCTGGTGCTTCTCGTCAGGATCGGTGGCTCCGAGCTCGTTACCGACTCTGTGTCACTCTTCTGCCAACCCAAAGGGATGAAAAAAAAAAAATAGGTGAGGATACATCGGTATACTTTAGTGTAAGGACAGTAAACATGTGCTGCACATGTGGTGAATCACATCCAGTTATTTTACAAAGGTCTTACATGCATACATATAATTCAGCAACAAGTTGTCACACTGAAATGCTCCAGGAACAGACCTGAGATCCAGACGTGACACCGAGGCCACTGTCAGCGCTGATCTGGGATTTCTTCTCCTCGGCGTCGGTCACCTGGGGGCGCTGCTGCTTCGCTCCGTCGGACCCTGAAGGACAGACCACGACTATCAGCACGACTTCATGAACGGGGACGACATCATCTTCTTGCCTTACCGAGAGTCGCCTCACTCAAAGCCACCACAGCACAGCAACACTGACGCTACGTCCATCTGAAGTGCCAAAGCTTCTGTTTAAACACGGCATTACACAGCGAAGCATAAACTGCCTTATTCACGTGTGTCAACTGATTTTAAATGCAAAGACTCAGAGCCTGAAGCTGCCACTAGCTAAAATACAGTGACTAGAACACATCTAATCTAAAAAGAGGTATGAAAACACGTTTTGTTCAAATGTTATCACAACTTTCTCTATACAACTGAGCAGCAACAGATGAAGGGTTTAAAGGTCAGACAGGGAGGTTACAAGCAGAGAGCGCTGGGAAAAAAAAATTACAAATGAAAACAAAAAACTGCAAGAGCGCGACATTAATTCTCAAGTCAATGCTGCAGATGTGGCCCAAGTTACAACAAAAACAACCATCAGACACAAGCAGTTATGCATGCAGACAAACTGGTGGACGGAAACGGAGACGTGTTCTGTTTGTGCGTTATTCATCACCTCGGGAGATGCAGACGTGCTGACGAGTCGATCGTTACACTTCCTGGTTTTTGTGTCACTTAACTTTTGTAAACCATGAATTAATTAAATAAGTGTGCTAACAGCTGTGAAATAATGTGTGTAAATACACAACTTACAGCCACTTGAGACTGGAAAAAAACAAGTTAAAAGTGCGGAAAAAGGGGCAGCAGGTGATTATTTCTGCTCATGAAAAAAACGACAAAAAAACCACTGGAAAATAAAATTAAACATTTCTTGAGCTCGACTTAAATATTAAAATTCACATAAGTCAACAACTTTAGAAAAAAAAAAAATCTAATTGCAATTGTTTTCACTAATATTAATATATGACTTGCGATATTGGAGGGACAGTGATTTTTGTGGGGATCTGTACCAAACAAAGAATATAACGAGTAGATTATCTCTGCAATGCGACAATATTTAAATGGTGCACATTTGAAAATTGCAGGACGGCATTTTGCTATTTTGATAAAATGTTGACTAATTGTTCAGCCCTAGACCCTGAGACGGATATCCATATCAGTATTGTTATTTTAAAATGATATAGAATTAAATAATGCATGGAACTAAAAATGGTAGGCAGTGACAAATAAGAGTTAATAAATACCTTGCACCATCTATTCGGTTAACAAAGCTGAGATCATTACAAACTGTGTTATAGTAAAACTAGCCCATACTGTAATAAATCCTTCTGGAAGAACCGTAAAGGGAAAAACGAACCAAACACACCAAGTCTGGATTAAACACAACATGAGCGAGAACAAGGGTTTCATTTCTCACAGTGCTAAATGATGTGACCCTCAATTAAAATACAGCAGATTTAATACCACTCGAGGATATCAACTATACTGCATTATGAGAAACCCAGAGTCATGAGCAGGAGGTACAGAGCTAGAACATCAGAGTCTCGGCTGAAGTTACCCCGATCCACATCTTATTTATAGAACAGAATGAATCCAATCCAAGCCTATATTTGATCTGCTATCCAGTCACACATTGTTATTAGGAGCCTTATTATTTATTCATGGGTAAAGACACTGGTGAGTTTGAAAAGGTGGAGAGAACGGGGTGGAAAAAGGTCAACAGCTTAACACCCCAATCTTTTATTTATTCTTTCGTGTGTGAAAAGTCTCTTACTCTGTGGTTTTTCCATAGCTTTTTGCTTATCCTGGTGCTTGCTCCACAATTCTACCCAAGATGCATTGCAAGCAAGGAGAGAAAGACAGAGAGAGAGTCAGAGAGCTGGTTGAAAAGGCATGTATGGGGGATGAGCATTAAAATCAAAACAAAAACAAAGTAAGCACTGAGGATCTGTCATTGTTGAATGGAGGCGTTTTGTAATGTTTGCATGTAGCTGTGCTTCAATCTGGACAAAATGAAAAAGGATTTCGCTGTCAAGTTGGATCCACCGTGTGCAACAGCTACTACGGTAACATTACAACACACCCAGAGCTCCCGGCCCAAAGTCCTGGAGAGCCACACAGTGACGTCAGGATGAGCTGCGGCTCTGATCGCAGGCCACCGACCGCATTTGTCTGGCTCTCCAGAGCAAAAAGGGCGAGCGAGCGGGAGATGTTTGATTCGGAAAAGAGCGTGGGATGGGGGGCGGGGCGGGGGGGGGGGGGGGGGGTAGTGAGGGTGTTGTAATGTTACCGTAGTAGCT